AAGCAGCAGAAAATGGTAATAAAGATGCAATATTTAATTTAGCTGTATGTTATAGAAATGGAGAAGGGACAGAAAAGAATTTAGAAAAAGCCTTTAATTGGTATCAAAAAGCAGCAGAAAATGAAAATGAAAAGGCAATGTTTACTTTAGCAAATTGTTATTATTTTGGAGAAGGAATAGAAAAGAATTTAGAAAAATCCTTTTATTGGAACCAAAAAGCAGCAGAAAATGGTAATGAAGATGCAGTATTTAATTTAGCTATATATTATTATAATGGAAAGGGAACAGAAAAGAATTTAAATAAAGCCTTTTATTGGTATCAAAAAGCAGCAGAAAATGGTAATGTAAATGCAATGTATATTTTAGCCGTACTTTTTGAAAATGGAGTAGAAACAGAAAAGAATTTAGAAAAAACATTTCATTGGTATCAAAAAGCAGCAGAAAATGGTTTTAATTATGCAATGTATAATTTAGCTATATGTTATAAAGATGGAAGAGGAACAGAAAAAAATTTAGAAAAAGCTTTTCGTTGTTATCAAAAAGCAGCAGATAATGGTTTTAATTGTGAAATGCATAATGTAGTTATATGTTATGAAAATGGAAAAGGAACAGAAAAGAATTTAGAAAAAGCTTTTCATTTGCATCAAAAAGCAGCAAAAAATGATGTTAAAGGAGCCATGTATAGCTTAGCTATATGTTATGAAAATGGAAATGGAATAGAAAATAATTTAGAAGAAGCTTTTCATCTGTATCAAAAGGCAGTGGAAAATGGTGATGAAAGAGCAATGTATAATTTAGTCCTATATTATAAAAATGGAAAAGAAACAGAAAAAAAATTAGAAAAGATCTTTTATTGGCATCAAAAAGTAGCAGAAAGTATTAAAGTAAGTTCTAAAGATGAGGTTGGATTACTATGTGATAAATGTAAAAGACCATATAGAGATCATTACTCAATTTATCAACATTGTGGTGAATGCAGACTACCATGTATTGATTACCAATGGTGCCAACAATGTAATATTAAACGATTACATCGTGATTTTTCAAAGTGGACTAGTAAAAATGAATTTATTGATAAATTTATTCAAGAGGCCCAACTAAATGCTAAAAATTGTTATGAAATTTTGGAGTGGATACCTTATAATAAATTGTTAAATATTAGTTATTATGATAAAGGAGGATTTAGTGAAATTCATAAAGCTATCTGGTCAGATGGACCTATTTTTAGTTGGAATTATGACAAACAACAATGGAATAGACAAACAAATTATGAGGTTATTATTAAAACATTTGACAATTCATCAAGCTTGAATAGTAAATTTCTTGATGAGGTATAGTATTTGTATTGATAGAATATTTTACTTTCTTTTTCAAAATTTAATAATTTTTTATCATAATATAGTGGAAATATCATTATAATTGTCAGAAAAAATCATTTTCAAGATTTATTCAAATCTTTGGAATTACTCAAGATCCGAATAATTTAAATTATATAATAGTAATGAGTTATGCAAAAAAAGGAAGTTTGAGAAAATGTTTGTCCGATATAGTTAAATTTAAGTGGCAAGATAAATTACAATTATTGAAAAAAATTATATTAGGACTCAAAGTAATTCATGAATCAAATTTAACTCATGGTGATTTCCATGATGGTAATATTTTAATGTCTGATATTTACAATGAGTTATTTATTACTGATTTAGGATTATGTAAACCCATAAGTGATTCTGATAATACTAGAACAAATGGAAATTATGGAGTTTTACCTTATATGGCACCTGAAATATTAAGAAATAAATCCTATACTCCAGCAAGTGATATTTATAGTTTTTCAATGATAATGTGGGAATTTACATCAGGTATTCCTCCATTTAATGATAGAGCACATGATCATCACCTTATCTTAAGTGTTTGTGAAGATGAACGTCCTAAAATTATTGAAAATACTCCAAAATGTTACGTAGATTTAATGAAAAAATGTTGGGATTCAAATTCTTCTAATAGACCAACTATAATAATGCTTGAAAATATTATATCTGGATGGATTAAATATGTTAATGGATATTATGAAAGAAACACGGATAGAAACTGCTGTATCTTTATAGTACCTGCTGGTATTGATGATCAATTAAAAAATGATATGTTCGAATTTGTAAACGCAAACAAAGCTTTAGTACAAGAACAAGCAAATACTTCTATTGTACAATCTCATTCACAAGCATGTTATACAAGTCGCAAACTTACTGAAATTTTAATCCAAGAAAATTCTGAGTGTTTTGAATGTTTAATTGAAGAATAATTCTGTTATTAGTTTATTCTTTATTTGTTGGTTTATTTATCAGTTATTATATAAGAAATATTTAATTATCTTTTGTATTTTTATAGTTTTTAAAATAAAGTAATAAGAAACAAACATCATTAAATAATGTTTATTTGTAACTTTATATTCATTAGTTTAACTTCCAATATGTTTCAATAATTTGCTAGTTATTATTATTATAACTTCACTGCGTGTTAAACTTTTTAAAAATGATTACTTATATTAATATGCAAACATGAAATTTTCAATTATCATAAACCATTTAAAAACCTGAAATCCTTCGATAATTACTTTCGCGTTGTTTATGTGCATTATTGATTTTACCTCAAAAGTAAAAAAAATTATTTTCTAGATTATGATGTAATACAATTTTAATTGAAATTGTGAAACGGAAATTGCAAATTCAAAGAGTTACCTTAATTAATATTTTAAGTGTTATTATTTGATCGACTAATGTTTCTATATTTTTTAGAAATGGATATTTATATATTCAACCTTTTATATATTATGAATTATAATTTTAAGTGTATAATATCCAATAATTTATTATCCCATTTGTGTTATTTGTGAATATAACAATTTACGATAATTAAATAGTTATTTAATATATATATTGTCAAATTTCTGAAAGAGAATATTACTATTGTACAGGTGGTTCATATGGTTTATATTATTAAAATTTGGTGGAAACCTGTTCAATTTCCATAATGTGCTAGGTTTCAATGAAGTTTCCAGTTTTTGGAAATGTTATGGAAATGTTATGCAAATTGGATCAGTTTCCATCATGTATACTAAAGTTTCCATAATGGAAATCATACCACTTTGACCAGTGTTGAATGCAATTATTTCACACTTTTCAAACGGAATAAAAAAAGTAACTTGAAAATTAAGTAAAATATTTAGTACAATGGTTTTTTGTATACTCATTTGAATACAAAATTATTAGAGAAAATGATTATAAAATTGTTTTTTGCAATCTTAAAACTTTTGCCAAATTTAATCTTATTTATTTCCTAAATTATTTTTTTTTCTCTTTATTGAATCATATCATCAAAATGCCATTCCCTGACGCTTAGATAATAATGCATACCAACAACATAGAAAAAATATATCTATACAATCAAGAGCTATGTCCCATAGTAAAACATAAACTAAATTAGATTAGTGTGGTTATTTCAGTTTAGTTAATTAAAATTACGCTAATATAAACTATGAAAGCGCAAATCAAACATTAATCCCCAAAAGTAAACTTTAACAAAACAATCCAAAAAATCCAAAATAAAAAAAGTAGGCAAGTCTAAATAACAATAATAATAATGCAGACGACATAGCACCACGTGAATCGACCGTTGAGCTATACTAAATCACGTTCCACCTTAGTCTTAACAAAATTATACTTATTAATAATATGAACAAATATAAATATATGCTTGGTTTAATATAACTAAATATTTCTAAAAATAAATCCCAAAGTTCGTATCCTGCCCTTTAGATCAAATCAAATATTACCCCTTTTTATATTTGATGATAATCTTATCATAAATCTTCTTTAAGAGCAAAAACCTATATCAATTTCAATTCAATTTTCAAAATTTCAAATTCCCATCCTAACGAATCTTGTTCTCTGAAACATATTTCATTATTGAATTTTATTTTCAGTACCTCAAAATTAAAAAAATTCGTAAAATTCCCTTTTTGATCTTCAACTCTACTTCTTAAAATATAAAGTTCTCGATTCTGGTCCCCCGTCTTAATCTAAATATAAATTATTACGCAATCTCATGACCTCTAGTTTAGCGTCATCTCGGACGTTACATTTGTAACGTCATACAATTTTGAATTTTTAAAATTATATACTGATTCTAAATACAATACTGCGCCTCATAATTAATAAATTTACTAGGCATTACATCGGTAAATCCCGTGACCGTCGCAGATCCAGAGGATAAAATTTTCCGATTTTTTATCTTCGTAATATGATAAGAAATCTCATTTCTCTAACATTCGATTCGTTCCCGTATCTTACTATTATTCTTTATTATTGTATGGCAAGCTTGATATTTTAGCTTACAGACGAACCAATATCAAGCACAAACACATCTAGCACGAACAGTTAAAATATCAATCACATGACGGATAAACATCAAACACGGACAGATGAACATCAAGCATTAACAAGTAAAATGTCAGACTTAATGTGACATTTAAATTTATATAGAAAAACACTGTTCTGACGCTTAACATACTACTTGTTAATGATATTTCTCTATTCAATACTATAGTAGTATAGTATAAAAATAAAGGAAAGACGACAATTGCAATAGTATGCAAATGTAAATTGTTTAAATTAATAACCCTTCATATAACTTTTCTATCTTTTTTTCCAACCTGAAAATTAAATTAATCAACGGAAAAAAGTTTTTTGGGATGATCATTTTTCTAGATTATCTTTTTTTTTTTTTTTTATAAAAGGTGGATAATTTACTGACATGGGTAGATCAGTGAATCGGAAAAAATATGGCCCGAAATTAATTTTTTTTTTTTACTTTTAGTTAAGATATTCCTTTTATAGAAAACTTATTTATGAAATATAAATTTTTTGTCAAAAAAAAAATTCGTCTAAAAAAAACAATTTTTTTTTTCCAGTAAAATATATTTAATAAATTTCTAAAATAAATAACAAATGGAAACTGAATTTAGCAAACCTAAAGATACAATAAACACCAAAAATTGTTTGTATTGCAACATACCTTTTACTGAAAAATTATTTTGTAAAGAATGTATTAATTCTTTAAAAGAATTAGCAGAAAATGGTGATAAAGGAGCAATGTTTAATTTAGCCAACTGTTATAAAAATGGAGAAGGAACAGAAAAGAATCTAGATAAAGCCTTTTATTGGTACCAAAAAGCAGTAGAAAATGGTAATGAAGATGCAATATTTAATTTAGCTATATGTTATAGAAATGGAGAAGGGACAGAAAAAAATTTAGAAAAAGCCTTTTATTGGTATCAAAGAGCAGCTGAAAATGGTAATAAAAAAGCAATGAATAATTTAGCCATATGTTATGAAAATGGAGAAGGAACAGAAAAAAATTTAGAAAAAGCAAGCCTTTCATTGGTATCAAAAAGCAGCAGAAAATGAAAATGAAAAGGCAATGCTTGCTTTAGCAAATTGTTATTATTTTGGAAAGGGAACAGAAAAGAATTTAGAAAAATTTTTTTATTGGAATCAAAAAGCAGCAGAAAGTGGTCTTAAAAAAGCAATGAATTATTTAGCCAGTTGTTATTACAATGGAGATGGAATAGAAAAGGATTTAGATAAAGCCTTTCATTGGTATCAAAAGGCATCCGAAAGTGTTTTTACTGCTGCAATGCATAATTTAGCAATATGTTATGAAAATGGAAATGAAATGGAAAAGGATTTAGATAAAGCATTTCATTGGTATCAAAAGCGGCAGAAAATGGTTTTACTTATGCAATGTACAATCTAGCTGTATGTTATGAAAATGGAAAGAGAACAGAAAAGAATTTAGAAAAAGCCTTTTATTGGTATCGAAAAGCAGCAGAAAGCAACAAAGATGAAGTTGAATTATGTCATAGGTGCAAAAAATCACATATTATTTACCCATGGTATTAACAATGTAATGAATGTAAACAACCATATACTGATTATCAGTGGTGCCAACAATGTAATGTTAAACGATTCCAAAAAGATTTTTCAAAGTGGACTAGTAAAAATGAATCTATTGATAAATTTATTCAAGAAGCACAATTAAATGCTAAAAATAGTTATGAAATTTTAGAGTGGATACCTTATAATGAATTGTCAAGTATTAATTATCATGATAAAGGAGGATTCAGTGAAATTCATAAAGCTATCTGGTCAGATGGACCCATTTTTAGTTGGAATTATGACAAACAACAATGGAATAGACAGACGGATCATGAAGTCATTCTTAAAGTACTTAATGATTCATCAAGTTTAAACAATAAATTTCTAGATGAGGTATAATATTTAATTTTTAATTTTTATAAATAATTTTATTTTCTTTTTCAAAAATTTAATGACTTTTTATTAATTATATAGTGGAAATATCATCATAATTGCCAGAAAAAATCTTTTTCAAAATTTATTCAATTTTTTGGAATTACCCAAGATCCAAATAATTTAAATTATATGATAGTAATGAGTTATGCAAAAAAAGGAAATTTGAGAAAATGTTTATCTAAGGTAATTACATTTAAGTGGCAAGATAAATTACAATTATTGAAAAAAATTATATTAGGACTTAAAGTGATTCATGAATCAAATTTAACTCATGGTGATTTTCTTGATGGTAATATATTAATGTCAGGTGATTACAATGAGTTATTTATTATTGATTTAGGATTATGTAAACCAATAAGTGATTTACAAGATTCTGATAATAACAAAGTTAATGAAGTTTATGGAGTTTTACCTTATATGGCGCCTGAAATATTAAGAAATAAACCCTATACTACAGCAAGTGATATTTATAGTTTTTCAATGATAATGTTATTTATTTATTTATTTATTTTATGTGAAGACGGACAGACTATTAACAGGACATAAACGTAACCGTGCTATCCTACTTCTAGCTATCATCCCCCCGAAGACGGACCCGAACTTCTTTAAATCCAATGAACCAGAATGATCCCCTCCCCTACCAGAAAGGAACCAATGAACCAATTAAAAAGTGAACTAATTAACCCGTATTTTTCTTTCAGCATCAAGCTGCCACCTGTAAATACTGTCATAGGTGGAATGATTCACACTGTTTGTAATTGTTAATATCTATCTTAATACGAACTAAAAAATTCAAAAAATGAATTACAAAATATAGAAACTAAACTATTTCAAACACGAAATTTAAAAATTAAATCTATATTAGAGGGTAAGAAGTCTTCTTCTTTGGTATCCCTACAGTCGAAAATACAAAGTTTTTTTGTTAGAGGTATAAGATCTCCATAATTATTATAATGAGTATATCTGGCGCGACGTTTTTTTGGACGACGTTCTAATATCTTCGTGTCGTCGGAGGTATCACTGAGATCATCTTTTATATATTCGACGTTATTAGGTCGGATAATAGCACGGTACCGTTTGGAGGGGTATTCGACCCGGTATTTTTCACCAAAATCTGTTATCAAATTATTAAGACGTTTTGATGCAACAGATCGTTTGTTGATGCCTTTCTTCATATGTGCACCATACGCAAATATGCGGATATTAGCCATACGATCATTAAAATTGTCATTCATTTGAGTGAAAAAATCCATAGCATTTGTACGTCTAAGGTAGTGTTTAGCAGAAGTATTGTGATCCCTAATGTCTTTAATGACATTTACCCTTTCGTTAAGACGATCACGAGCTTTGATCTCAGCAATGCAATCTTCGTTTAAACCTAACATATATGCGTCTCTCAAGGATAGTTGAATTGTGGAGTCCTCTAATAATTGTATGGCATCTATATATTCTGATGCACCTTTGCCATAGTGTTCATCAATAAGATTTGTGATATACCAATCCCTATAGGAGTTTTCTGATGTATCATCCCTGCCATTATCGGCTGAAGAGTCATCCTCTTCATCTGAATCCTGATTCTTGATAACCCAGCTTGATCCAGGAGTAATGTGAGAAGGAAGAATCCTATCTTCATATAAGTGTAGAAGAGCGCAGTTCCGGTCGTATGGAAAGCGGAATAAGGGAACAGTTGGGAAACGTTTAAATAATCCCATATTAAATTTTAAGTGAGGGAGACGTTTACAAATCTTTTGATACGGATAGAAAAGAAACTTCCTTTGATTTGCAAGTCTAATCTTATGGCGGAGTTTAAGAGCCATCCCAGATTTAGGTTTATTACTACTAAAAATACGTCGACAAGATCGGTCAAAATAAGCTTTTTGGCGTACAGCTGTACGTGGATTAGAACTTATCGTACGAGAAAAATTTTCATAAATCTTGGTGTACATAGAACCAATAGCCTTATTAGGAGGTAAAATTAGATTGAGATCGTGTGCGTCATAACGTGTTGTATAAGAGATACCCAATCGATTTGAAAAAATTTTTTGCCTCGAGTTACTGTTATATTTCTCATAGATAACATTAGCGTGAAAGCTTTTATGATGAATGATGTTAATCGTAGGTGTTGATGTCGCCTCAACCTCTAAAGGTATATTTGCATTATGAGTGATGAGTGAATGATGTTGGATACAAGCGTGTCGATTAAAATTTTTAACAAAAGGGCACGGTATATGGCATAGTGTTGCTTTCTGATGGGGAAACTTCTTTGTAAGTAGATGGTTACAAGCTACGTAGATACCAAAGTAAAATCTGTATCGTTTGTAAGAGAAGTTGAAAAAGGTTTTTGTAATATTATTGCTGCACGTGATTTTTCCTGCACGTGATGCTATCAGATTGATTCTATCCAACAATTTGAGTCGTATCATGTTAAAAAATTTGTTCTGAATACGCCGAGGAATAACTCGTTGATGTAAAAAAAAGTGCGTGAGGCATTTCGATATTTGAAATCGATGATTAGGTAATTTGCTTGTGGAATAATACCGAATTGGGGTTGATAACATATGATGATCGTTTGTGTATATTTTAAGGTGAATTTCATTGGTGTCTGGTATTTGATCGACAACCTCAAAAAAGAAACTTTTTGAACGCCTAAGTTCATAGATCTTGTTATAACCTGCTTTAGACGCAGCGGTCACGTGAAATTTTTCGAAAGAGACCAAAAAAGAAAAGGTCGAAAGGGTTGGTGAAGGTAAAGGAGCTTTGACTGTGATAGTCGGAAGTGTGTTATCCTGTGGTTTAATAGTCATCACTGAAACATTATCTTTAGCAAGTCCGCCTTCAGGAATATTTCGTCTGCTATCGGAGTGTCCGTCCAACTGCGGATAAGGTTTCGAAGATTCATATGAGGCCAAGGAAGAGTTGGGTAGTTTGTATTTTGAAGATGACATGGTCCCTTAGTATGGGATAAAATGAGAACTAAAAACCTTGTATAAGACCAAGGCGCCCGGTTGGGCCTCGTCCCCTTTAGCGTTTCAACTAGAAACTAAAAAAAAAAAAACTTTCGCAAAATTACTGCGGAAAACTAACGGAAATAAAAAAAGGGGAAAGAGTTTTTTTTTTATCAATAATTTTTTTCAATGATAATGTGGGAATTTACATCAGGCATTCCTCCATTTAATGATGAAGCACATGATCATCACCTTAACCCAGTAAATAGTCATCGTTTGTAATTTATATTGTATTCGTTTGGAATATGTGTATATTGTTAATTTTATATACTAAATTTGAGCCACTTAATAAAATTTAAAAAAATTATTTTTTAATAACGTACTAAACTTGTACTATTCGCTTGGTTTTATACTAATTATGTATTTTTAATCATGTACTAAATTTGTGTTAATTACTTAGTTTTATACTTGTAATATGCTAAATTTGTACTAGTTGCTTAGTTTTGTACTAGTTTCATATCTATATTCGTATTAATTACACATTTTTGGATTTTTTTGAACCATATACTAAATTTGTACCAGTTTTGGTCTTTTTAATTATATACTAAATTCGTACTAATTTCGCAGTAGTTACATATTTCTTCTAATTTCGCAGTAGTTACATATTTCTTCATGTATCCTTTTTCTGTAACTATCATCTATTATTAATCTATATTAATCTCAAGCTATATACTGCAACAGTGCAACGTACATATGTACCTTAATATAATTAATAACATCAAAATAAAATTTCCCTATTTATATATCGCGTGATATACTACCAGTTCGATCTTTAATATAAACTAAAATAAACTTTTTTTTTAACTTTTTCAACTCTCCTTTCATTCTCTTTTTCTAATAAACTTTTTTTTAACTTTTTCAACCCCCTTTCGCTCGCTTTTTTTCTTTTTAAAAATAAACTTTCATTAGCTTTTTTTAACTCCCTTTCACTCGCTTTTTCTTAAAAAAAAATATTTTTTTTTAACTCCCTTTTTCCTTTCCATTATTCCTATTTCTCTTCTTTTATATTTCGTTTGTTGAAAAGTACTCACAAAAAAAAAATCAAATTCTATAAGGCCAAAAAAATAAAATTATTCGTTTCTCATGAAAAAAAATTGCTAAATTTGACCCGGCCGCCCGGAAAAAAAATTTATTTTCAAAAAAAATTTAGCCGATTCCTAGATGATGATTGGTTGATTTAATAAATTTTTTGCCCGGGTCACCGGATGGAAAAAAAAATTATTTTTTTATGATTATGATTGGTCAAAACCAAAATCACATGACCAAATAAAATAAATTTTTTTATCTTTTCGTAACATTTACATGACCCGCCCGGTCATGAGAAACGAATAAATTTATTTACTTGGCCTAATGAAACATTTGAAACATTATAAAGTTTTTTTTTTTTCTTTTTAGGTGGCTCCATGATATTTCGCAAGTTTTCAAAAAAATTTTTCTTAAATTTATTTTAACAAAATATTACTATTTTTTCTTTTTTAGATGGTTTTTCGGGTCTATTTTGACACGTGGGATTTCGTTCTCAGTAGGTTTTTTTTTTCCTCTATTAGTTTATTTATTCTAACGAACCATATGTTAACATTTTGAATTTATCTTTTTTTTTAAATTTTTTTAGATGGGCCTGAACGCATGGAAGAGGAAATCGGACTATATTTTTTCGAATTTAATTCTTTTAATGAAATAATAATTCATTTTAGACGACTTAAGGATCACTTTGAACATAAATTGCGGTAAATAAAACAAAATATTTTTTTTTCATTTTTTTAGGAAACTTTTCAGATCTTTGGACGCATGAGATGAGATTTGGTGGAAAAGGTTTTTTAAATGACCTTTTTATGGAATATTTTGCTACTTTTTATTTCTTTTTTTAGGATATTGACTATGAGGTAACTTTTCTAAGCTTAGGAATATTATTGAGTATCGTAAGAATTGATTTAGGCCGCAAAACCAACCTGTTAGACTAAAGACGAGTACTATTGTTCAAAGATCAAGACCAAATTAATCTATATCAAATCGGACACTGGACACGTGAGATTTTGGTTGAAAATAAGTTTGTGTAAAATTTCGGATTATTTCATATCTTCTACTTTAATTCGTTGTGAATTTTCTATTTTTTTTTCTAAATTATTATTTTGATCAAACATTTATTACACTTCTTGTTTATCTTCTTAGACGGATTATTTGGTTTAGTACATGGAATTCTTACTTTAAACATTTTGGTTTGCTTTATTTAGACGGGTCTAGACGCATGAAAAAGTTGGATATTTCTTTTTAGGCAGCCAGTTCTTCGGGCCCCTGGACCTCCTTAGGCATGTTGATTCTTGATAAGTATTTTTTCCTTTTAATTTGTACAATTTAACAACGGAACAGGTACTCACACTTCGTATTTTTTTCTTAGATAGCCTCTTCTGATTTCATTTCACAAGATTTTGGGATTTTTTTCATTTTTCTTTAATATTATTGACGTCTAAATGATGAAAAAAAGAATGAAGAATAGTGAAGGAGAAACAAAGTAGCTGCACGAAAAAAGTAAAAGAAAAGAAGAAACTTGATTGCAAGGAAAGAGAGAAGAGAGAAAGCTTCTGTCATTGGTAAGATTGGAAGCATATTTCGTTGAACTACTACTAAAAAATATATATGGGGGAATAGCAGAAAGAAAGTAGAGAGGAAAGAAATGAGGTAATATAGTGGATACATCTATTAAGGAAGTGAGTCTATTACTGAAATAAAATAATAACTTCAATTCTTTACCTGCAGACGCATCTAAAGATTTATTACATCAGAAACATGTGTTCAAATCGGGTTCCCACCTTGTTATAGTTGTGTCACCAGGGGCGCTATGTCAACGGAAATTTAGTACGTTGATCTCTTAAAAATCCGTGGCTATCCAATTATAACAAGAGGAAAGAAAAAAAGTTAAGTAATACAGTTAGCGCAACTTTTAATTTTTTTTTATTATTTTTTATATTATTTTACACTAGATAACTGATATATATTTATAATGTATAATATATTTATAATGTGTATTTTATATATTATTTATACATGTTAATAAATTAATATTACAATTACGAAAACGTGACATTAATTTTACAATACAGTATTAATAATTACATATAAAAAAGTGGCTCATATACGGCACAAGGTTAGATATAAAAATGGTATAAATCTATGTACAAAAATAGCTTGAAGCTGGACTACAACTTGGATAAGTTTAAAATAAATTCAGTACAAATTTTGTGCCAAACGGGCTCACTATATAGTGCATAACTTATGGATATGAATTTGGTACAAATTGATGCGAAAACTTTTTATTGGGCTTATATTGAGTGTTTGTCAAGGGAAACGTCCTGAAATTATAAAAAATACTCCAGAATGTTATATTAATTTAATGAAAAAATGTTGGGATTCAGATCCTTCCAATAGACCAACTATAGCAATACTTGAAAATGTTATATCTGAATGGATTATATATGTTAATGATATTGATGTAGTAGATGGAAATTATACCTTTGAGGTTTCTGATATTGATAATCAATTAAAAAAATGATATGTTAGAATTTGTAAAAACAAATGAAACTTTAGAACAAGAACAAGCAAATACTACTATCATACAACCTCATCCACAAGCACATTATACAAGTCGCAATGTTACAGAAGAAATAGAAAAGTCTAAGGATGTTAGTGAAAACTTTGTTCAAGAAAATTCTGAGTTGCTGGAATGTGTAGTTAAAATTTAAAAATCAATAATAATAATTCTGTTATTTATTCTTTATTTGTTGGATTATTTGCCAGTTGTTATATGGAAATGTTTATATTATTTGTTTTTACAGTTTTATAATAAAATAACAAGAAATAAACATGTTTAAATACATGCTACTTATTAAATAATATGTTTATTTTCATTTGCAATTTGTTTAGCAAATTTAAGTTTCAAAAAATATCTTTGCATAAATTCTGTATAATTTAGTGACTGAAAATATCATGTATTATAAAATATTCTGTACCTGTATAATTTGAATAATTTGTATAATTTCTATATTATAGCAATATACAGGTTTATTTGAATTATTGATAAATTTGCGACATGATACTAAGTAAAATTATAAGTTGAATTTATAATGAATATAATGTAGCAAATTATAATTCGAACTTGTAATTTGATACAATCTATAAGTGAATATGCCAATAAATGAAATAATCACTTATCACCATAACAGAGAATAAATAAAAGATGTTGATGTAAAAAACAAAACTGTTATACCAATAAAGTCAAATATAACACATTGGTTTTCAAGTTATTTTTTTTTTTGATTTGTCCAAAAAAAATGTGATGATATATATATATATATAGTAAATAATTATTGTAAATATCCTGTTACTGTATACCTATAGGCTATAGTTTATAATATAATTTTTTATTTACGAACATCATAACTTGACATAATCATATACTTAAAAAAAAAACTTATAAAAAATTCATATATAAAAGAAAGTTAAATATATAAATGTCTATATTCCTTAAAAAAAATAGTTAACAAAACTTAAAAAATAAACAAATCAAATAATAATAATAATAAAATCTAACTTTAATAACACCATTTAAAATCTTTATCATCATTAAAATTACAATTTTGAAATTTCTTAATCACACCTTCATTTGTATATTTTTCAATCAAATTTTTCATCTCATTTATATAATTTAAATTATAAAAACAATCATTAGAATCTTTATCAACAATAGAATATAAATGTAAGGTTTTTCTACCTTTCCAATGATTAAAAAACCTATCCAATACCGTTATTTTAAAATTACAATAATTGATTCCAATTTTATATAAAGTTCTTGGTGCAAATCTAATTAATTTATCCAATAACTTATCAGTAAATGATGGATTAATATTATTATATGTAGATGATCTTTGATTTTGTAATAATGACATATTAATAGTAGTAAATGTTATTTTGTCTTTATAAATATATAAACCTTCCAATAATTTACAATTAGTTAAAAGTGATTCAAGTTTATCAAGATAATCATCATTTAAAGCAATTCTAACATATTTAAGATTAGGACAAAATTGAGATATACATTGAATAAAATGACCAGTATTACTATTTAATGATAAATTCCTAATATGCATAGAATCTGCCCAAATTTTTTGAATACTTCCAGTAGTTTTCTTAATAATTTCTATAGCAATAGAATAAGTTATTTGAGATACATTAAGAACTTGAAGTTCAGAATAAACAAATTCTAAATGTTTATCCAAATTTAAACTAATCCATTTATCACTGGTACCACATAATTTTAATTTTTGTATATTAATTAATTTTGCAAAAAGTGTTTCAAAAAATTCCAAATCCCTTTCTATTGATAAATAAATAAGATTATGAGCATGTTTTATTATTTCTTGACCAATGTTACAATTTGATAACTTATCATTATGTGATACATAAGTTGGTTCATCAATTTTAAGATATTTTAATTTTTGTTGCATTTCAATTAATTTAGCAAGTCCATCATTTGAATAATTATGTAAAATATGAAAAGACTCAATAGATTTACATATATGAGCCAAACCAAAAAATAATTCAGAATCATCATCACTTCTACAATTTAATTCATTAAGTTCTAAAAGACTTTTTTCAGAACCAGGAAATTCGTATAAAGGATGTTTGAAATCGGTAATATCCAAATATTTTATTCTAGAACATTTACTAACAAAAAGTTTATAAATTTCTTTTTCCAATATAAATCTTTGAGAATCATTATAATCATTCTTAAATAAAATATCATAAATATTTTTACCATTAATAGTCATATAACAATATTGATTTTTAATATATTTAATAAAACTAATATAATCAAATAAAGGACTTTTTTGTAATGATAAATCCTTAAAAATATCAATACCTTCACTTAATAAATAATTTTTTGATTCCTCAGATAAATTTAAAAAGATAATATTGAAAAATATATTTGCCCTTTTTTGAAGTTTCAAAGTAAGAGTTCTATTTAAAAATATCCAAGGATCCTTCCATAAAATTGTTACAGCAGTTTCACACCATAATCTATTAACTCTTAGGCATGAATATAAAGAATTTTTATCTTCAAATAATTCTTCAAAAATATAAAGTAAAATATCTTTATTGAGATTTGACATAATTATTATTTTTTTGTATAGAAATAAAATTAGGGTAATCTGTGAAATTTTTTTAAATTTTTTTTTTTGTTATTTCTAATTTAAGTTTAAAATTAGTAATCTTAATAAGTAAATAATCAATAGCTGCGCCATGCATAATATTTTGTACTTAGGTGGCTAAGTGGGCAATATTTCAATGAAATTTATGATTATGATCATGTTGTATCACATATTGAATGGCTTCACGGCTTCACAGCCTAAACTAAATAAAGATCATCTTTCATAATGTACGTAATAGTACTTATTTTATGAGTACCTTAACAGTATCTAATTTTAGTTAATTATTGCAGGTGATTTTTAACTGGCCCGGTGAAAATATAATTGTGACAAATACAGAGTTTACTTGTGTCACACACACTTGTTATTAACTACGATGAAAAAGGTTAATATTATTTAGCAATGAATTTACAATATAAATACATAAAATATTTTTTTTTTTGGTACTATTTTAAATTTTATTACTTTTTATTATAAAAATATGCTAAAATTTAAAATAAATCATTTTTATGATTTTTTATTCAAAAAAACGAATACAAGTATTAGTTTCGACTAAAGTAGATTCAAATTTGACTCAATCGTTATGTAGAATCGTTAGGAGAACTTGACACATAAGTAACACAATGACTAGTTAAATATATATGATGACGTATTTTTAATAAAAAAAAGTAATAGTAATAAAAAGGGTGTATTGACCGATAAATAAATATTTAATATGATTAGTTAATTTGAATTTTTTTTTCTAATCCATTCAAAATCTTCAAAATAAACTCCAAATATACTATTATGATATACTTTAATTACTCCCTCCGCTTTATATTTTTCGATCATATCACAATAGTCTATATCTACAGTTACATATTCACCTTCTGGAATGGTATATAATAACATTGAATGTCTACTTTTCCAATTATCAAAAAATAATTTTAAAAATTCCGGACGAGGAGCCACGGAAAAATAAAATTTAAACTTAAACAAACTAGTAGGTGATGACCTAGTTAATATTTTGAATAATTCAACCCAATCAATATGATCTTCAGTCATAATAAATAATCCGTCTAAATATTTACAATTAATTAATAATTTTTCCAATTCCCAAATATTACTATCCTTAATTAACAGTTTAAGATATTTAAGATTAGGACAATTTTGATAAATAGCTCGAATGAGTCTTTTGTTATCAATTTCATCATGATCTATATAACCTATTTTTATTTCATTAAGATATCCTTTCGTTTTTTCAATTAAACTTGTTAAAACGTTGATTGGAACATTTTTAACGTTCAAAAGTTGTAAAAAGGGTAAAGATACAGTTGCTAATTCATCCCATAATGCGTTGTAATTTATACCAATCACTTCTAAAATTTTTAAATTTTCAAAATATGAAAGAATATTTGTGATTGGTTGATCTACTATCTTAATATATTCTATAGTCTTTCCATGTTTAATTAATGAATTTTCAAGATTTTTACAAAATGATTCATCAACATTATCATAATCTAATTCAAAGTATACTTGATTTAATTTTTTTTGTGAATCAATTAACCTAATAATTCCATCATTATTATTTGTTTTGACAAAAAATTGGATGAAAAAATCCAATTTTTTAATCGATTTACATATTTCTGATAATCCAATCAAAATTTTCTCATCTATACCAGCATTAAAATTAAGGAATTCAATTTCTGAAAAACTTTCTTTAGCTCCAGGAATAAGATGTATTTGATAATTAAATCCATAAGGCATATAAAGATGTGTAAATTTTGCTTTGTTATTAATAAAAAGATTAAATATTTCTTCTTTAAGTAAAGAAATATCTAATAAAAAATTATAATCTATTGAAATATAAATGATCTTTTCTATTTCAATTAAATTTAAAATTTTACAAAAACTTATATAGTTAAATAAAGGTTTTTTAAATGATTTTATCAAATATTTACTTAAATTATCTCTTGATTCATCTGATAAATGTGAAATTATTACTTCTAATAATAATTTTTCTCTTCCTCTACTTAAATATTTCCAAGGATCATTCCAAAAAATTGGAATAATTATTTCACACCAAATTTTATTGACTGAAAGACATGAAATTAAAGTCATTTTATCATCTTCCAATTCTTTGAATATCAAATAAAGAATATCTCCATTTAACTTGGACATTTTTTTTTTTTTTTCATATACTGAAAATTTTTTTTTAAAAAAAAAGAGGGAGGGGAATTCTCGATGTTTCAGTTAAACATTCGTATTACATAAACATTCCTTTATACGTCGTACAAAAAAATTCTTTGGTCGTTTAAATAACGGTAGATCATCTGCTGTACAATGGTTTACCTGCCGCAGTTGCAGTAAATGACACTTTCGACCTTTCAATGTTACTGAGCTAATCATACAATTTTAGACGCCATTAAAAAAATCGTAAATATAAAAAAAAAACAAAACTTCATAAATAAACCTATTTTATTCTTACATAACTGATAACACCAAACTGTATTACAACGATTTAAAATTTAATTCCTTTTGTTATTTAAATTTCAAGCTGGCATAAATCAATTTTACTATTATGATTTTATTACAAATGTAAGAAGAGTTAGTAGACGATAAAAGAAAAAATTAAAACAACTTTCAATTCCGGTCGGTTGCATTTTTCGGTCGGGTTTGTTTGTCTCATTTTGTGCAACACATGAAATATCCAATCTTTTGACCCATAAAATCTTTGGGTTTACCGGTCGAACGTGTTTCATCAATAGAATAGTTTATTTTGCATATGACCGAAAAATGCAACCGACCGGAATTGAACAAGCCTAGTAAATCTTAGTAAAAGTGCTTATAATAGTAATATAACAATGTTAATAAAAAATTAACTGTTTTGTAAAATTTTAAAAGAGATGCGAATTATCTGCTAACCCAATAATAAATTGTGTTATTAAATCTTGAACAGAAAAAAATAATTATTTAAATTATTTAATTATTTAAATCTTCGTCTAGAATTTAGTATTTTTTTTTTCTACATGAGCTTAAAACATGCGATAACACTTTCGTTTAGGTTTCTTTGCGTCTTATTGAATTAGTTAACTGTAAATCTGGTATCAAGTGCAGTTAATGTTAAACTGCTGAGCCGCAAATTTACTTCACCTACGACCATTTTGAAATAATGCCTTAATCAATTTAACTGTGAGATTGAATTTCACTCATAATAATTTATCTCGGTATAAAAATAATGTATTTCAAATGATAGCAGAAAGTTTTTAGGCTTTTTTGGTTTTGTCTAGATAATAATTGTGTTGTGCTACAGATTACTGATACACATGATGTATTTTCATCATACACAAAGATAATGGTATTTTGGCTATAATATGACGTAGTATGTACATGTTGGTCGCGGGGATCGACTTGTACTATTCAAAGGTGGTGTGGCAATTATTTGTTGCACAATACACAAATGCTCATAATGCTTATCAGAATGAACCATTTCCTATTCAATTTGTTCTTTTTTGGAAAAAATAAACCCCGAATTTACCATTCAAAAAAAGAAAAAATCTAAATCTTAATTTTTATATTGCAGATTTTTTTTAATACAATTAAGAATTCAAAAGACTTGAATAAAGTAAACAGTCATACATTCCTTAAGACTATGCGCACTGAAAACGAAGCTATTGCTCCTTTCATATCTCTTGTAAGACTTGTTTTTACTTTAACAAAAGAAATTATAGAAGCATATGAAAATGTTCAATGTATCAAAAGAACTTGTGGTACGTTAGTTAATCGAGTTAAAGCTGCTGGAATCACTATTAAAGTATTGATGAGAGAAAAAGAAAAGTATCTTGAAAATTTTAGAGATGAAAATTATTATAACACTTTTTTAAGATTTACAAATTGTTTAAAACAAATTAAGAAATTATTTGATGATGTTTCTCAATTACATAAATTTATTAAATTTATTTCAAGTGCAAGTATTGAAGAAAAGTTTGAAGAGATTATTAAAGAATTTAATACTTGTTCTAATGATTTAAATTTAACAATTTATATCGCTACACAAAATCATTTGAATAATGACCTGAAAATTTTACATAATGATATGATTGAAATGTATAAGGTATGTAAACATATAACTTTCTAATTTTCCACTTTGAATTCTTTCGTAAACAAATTGTTAATTTAATGATATGAAAAAAAAATTTTTTTCATGAACGATATAGTTTTTACAAATGATTGAATGTGGTATCACGGATACAGCTAATAATAATGAAATTACCATGAACAAGTTAGAAATTCAAAACAATGAAATAAAATTTATAGCTGAAAATATTGTGGTAGGAAACGAACGACTCATAGAAATGAATGAAGAACTCGATGGATACAAAAAGGTATATAAAACGATCAATTACTTACTAAATATGCGAATAAATGAACAAGATTCAATTAGAGCCAAAGATATTAAAGCTTCAGAACTACAAGATCCACCAAAATATGTACCACTACGACTGGGTAGCAGAGTAAAAATTCAAAAAAAAGTTTTTAATGCAATAGAAGTTGCTTGCAAACCCATTCCTAAATACATTTTTCCAATGGCCCAGAAGTACCTTGCTACCTTGGAAAAATTGGGTGCTTGCCCATATATTATTAAGTTTCATGGACTATCGGTAATAGCTACAGTAAAAGTAATAGTTATTGAATGGGCGGAATATGGAACTTTAAGGGATGTTTATCAAAATTATAAGATTAATTGGGGAGCGAAGATTTCTATTGCAAGAGATATTTGTTGTGGCTTGGCTTTTTTGCAATCAGGTATTACAATGTTATTCACTAATGAATTATGATATCGATTTCAATCCAATAATTAACTTTTTTTTAATTTTGTCATTCATCGACAGTGAATATTTTGCATCATGATATTCGATGTGAAAACGTATTAATTAATGAGAAAATACAACCTAAACTTTGCAATTTCTCATTTCCTAGTGAATATTATGAAAAAAAGATATTATACAGTAGGCATAATATAACAAATTGGGCAGCACCCGAACTATTTAATTTTTTTTTAACAGACCAGAATAAAAAGTTTAGAAAATCGGGGGTCCCTAAATACACTATTAAATGCGAAATTTTTAGTTTTGGAATGCTTTTATGGGAACTTGCTTTTCAAGAAATACCATATAAAAATATGAGTATAATTGATATAGAAAAACTTGTTTCGAAAGGTTATAGAGAAGCATTGAATTTGGGATTAAATTCTTATTTAATTAAAGAGTATTGTGAAATTATTAAACTTTCTTGGCAACAAGATCCATCATTACGTCCAGGAATCCAATCTCTTTTTAATAAGTTGCAGGGGTTATATGAGAAAAATATATTAAAATACAAAGGTACTACTGTAGATGTACCATTATTCCCAGTTAAGGTCGGTCTTGAAGCTCATAAAGATGGCAATTATAAGAAAGCTTGGGATATTTTTGAAACAAATGCAGATGTTGGTGATATGTTAGCAAAATATTGGAAAGGTTATTATTATTTAGTAGGAATATATATTAATAAGAACAAATCAAAGGCAATGAAATTATTTAAAAAAGCAGCAGATGCTGGTAATGCTGATGCTCAATTACGATATGCTTTTTGTTTAATTAATAAGGAAAATAAAAACATCAATGCTATTGAGTTTATGAAATATTTACAATTAGCAGCTGATAATAATAATGCTGCAGCTCTTTATAATGTTGGTGATATATATTTCTCTGGTAAATTGGGCATCAAAAGGGATAAGGAAAAAGGAATTTATTATTTAAGACAAGCTGCTTTACGTAAGCATGCTAGGGCAAAAGAAACACTAGATAAAAATAACATTAGTATTGAATACTAATACATCATATTGACGATCAGATTGGTCAAAAATATCAGAGATTCGGAGTTTCCAACAAGCGAACCCGAAAATTACCTTTTTCAATTTTAGTATAACAAAAATGAGTTTTTAGAAAAATTATTATTTTGCCTTTAGTGCAAGAAAATTTTAACTTTAAATAAATTTGATACAAATATGTATTACTCTTTAACTTTATTTATCATAAAAGAAAAAAAAAATAAAAAATAAATTTGTTGCTCAAACTATAAAAAGGCATACTTAACAATAAGCCATTTAAACTATTTCAATCTCTCATGAACTCTCGACCCATTCTTTCCATTACTTTTTCATCATGCATCTCCTTAAATATTCTTCTTATTGACATGCGAATATCGCACAAACAAAAACAAAATTAACACTTATACGAGCTTATATGTGTAACATAGATTAATAACCGAGGTAACTGAAGTTAATGTTAACCTAGAAATCAATATTGGCTTAGGGTCACTAAAGGTTAGGACTGGTAAACATTAGCTTAGGATGAAATGTTGACTTGGAATCATTTAGGGTTTTGTGGGTTAGGTTAGATTAGGCGTTTAAGAAAGTAAGTTTAAGTTAATATTTCAACTAAATTTTACGTTGTTTTTCATATTTTTAGATGGATGATGGTCGGTATGATGAATTTAAAGACATAACCAAATAGGACCCAGAAATATATATACAGGGGTAGGGTACACAAATGCGTCGCCATCATAGTGGAATTAGACGGAGTAAAGTTTTGATTTGCGTACAATTTTAGAATTTTTCATCTATAGTTAGGTCATCAAGATTGCGTATTTTTTATCGAAATTTTTATATGTAAAAAATTAGTTTGCGTATTTTTGACCTAAATTTGGCTAATCTTATATATATAATATATTTACTGTAAGTACTTATTTAATTAACCGAATTGTAAGAAATTTCTAAGGGTTAAAAAGTGAAATTTTAGAAAAATATTATAAAAAAATGGTAAATTCTATTTTTTCACATTAGTATTTTGTTTTATAAATAATATAGAAGCCATGATAAAATAATTAATAACTTAATGTCTGAAATTTTATTTGCGTATTTTTGCAGGATTTTCAATATCAGGTGTCAATTATGCGTACTACTCATATAAAAAGTCTCTGCGTACAGCTCATAGTAAAAAAATTTTTCGCCACCTGACCCCTATATATATATTTCTGGGTCCTAACCAACATCAGGAGAATAAAACAAGCGTAGATCTACAAAATAATACACGTGTGAAAAACTACGCAAATCTACACCACTCGCGACGATATACGAGTGTGAAAAATTTAGAGGAATTTTCAATAGTATAAAATAGTGTACTTTTAAAAATGACGTAGTTTTTTTAATAGTAAAAAATAGTGTAGTTACCATATTCTCAAATTTTTTCACATTTTGTAATTTTATTATTTTTTTTTACTTACACTAGTAGGGAGCCGAACTGAAGCATTTTTATGTTTTTACTTACACTAAGAGTCGAAGTGAATTACCCACTATTAATTATATTTTATTTATTTATTTTTTACTTACACTAGGAATCGAACCGAATACCTCGAGATAAACTATTAATATATTAAGTCTCATTATCCGACCACTACACTATTTGTTCTTTTTTTTTAATTATTAGTATTATATTTCATATTTATCTTAGAATTAATATGTATTTATATAATTTTTTTAGTGTAGATATATCTATTTGTGTAAATTTTATGCAACTTTTTTAATACAAAATATTTTAAGTTACATTTTCGCGTGGGTTATGCAAAATCGTGTATTTATGCAAATTTCTAAAGTGTAGATTTCTGAAACTACCTACTTATGTAGAATTTATGAAACTTTTTAAGATACAAGTCAACGAAATATTTTTTTAAATTGTTTTTATGTGTAGATTACTTAAATCATATATTCAAGAAGTTATTTCAAGGTAAAAAGTATCATAAAATTTTCGTGAATAGGTAGTTTCGAAGATTTATAAGATACGCCTTATTAAATAACTATGTTTTAAGTGTAAATTATGCAAAATTGTATATTTATAGATTTTTACGGAGTATAAATTTCCAGGGATTATACATATTTGACAACTTTACGCTAATATTCGCCTCATATAATCTCCTGATGAAATTAACCAATGTATCTAAAATTTCTAATGAGTACAATAAAGATAATTTGTCTGGTAGTATTGATTCTGATATTGAGCCTAATTATAGTCAATTGAAGAATTTTTATAGTGAATAAACATTTGCTTCTTTTGATGTACTGGAAAATGTTTACTCTTTTTGAATAGGATTAGAAACAGAAATTGTCAGAATTGAGAAAAAAGAGGGTTTATGGTCATGAAAAAATTGGATCTTATACAGCCTGTACTGAATGTGGCTTTTTACTAAATGCAAATGTTCAAATTTGGTTTTTGTTAGCAAATTTGCTAAAGATCATAACCATACGTTAAATACTAGCAAAAAACTGCTCCATCATTGCGTAAAATACCTTAGAATGTAATGGAAAAAAAAAGTCTTATGTTAAAAAGTGTCATTTGAGTTGTAAAATAATTTATCTATCTCAATTAGAAGGGATAGAAGTAATAATCATATAAATTGCTTCAAAGGACTAACAACTAGATAAATGAATTAGTATATATTTTAAGTGTTCATTGCTATTAAAATTTATAAGAAATAATGATTATAATATTACTCTAAGGCAATATTACTTATAAATTTTTAAAATACGGATTTGGAAGTTAAACTTAAATTTGCTAAATAAGTTGCAAACGAATATAAAATCATAAATAAAAAGTTTTCAAATATATTTAATAATGTTTACTTTATTGTTAAACTATAAAAATACAAAATTACAAATATTTTAATATATAATAATTGATAAATAATCCAATAACTGAAATAAGGAATAAAATAACAGAATCATTATTATTAGATCATACAGTCAGAACCCTGAGACTCCTCTTGTAAATAAATTTCAGTAAGTTTGCGACTTGAAAAACATGTTTGTGGATGAAATTGTATAATAGGAGTATTTGCTTGTTCTTGTCCTAAAGCTTTGTTTGCTTTTACAAATTCCAACATATCATTTTCTAATTGATTATCAATATCAGGTACTCTATATGCACCATCATCCCTATCCTTGTTTATTTCGTAATATTTATTAATACATCTGGTCCATTCAGATATAATATTTTCAAGCATTGTTATAGTTGGTCTATTGGAAGGGTCTGAATCCCAACATTTTTTCATTAAATCTATATAACATTTTGGAGTATTTTCAATAATCTCAGGACGTTTTCCTTCTTCACAAATACTCAAGATAAGGTGATAATCATGTGCTTCACCTTTAAATGGAGGTTTACCTGATGTACTTTACTGTCAAGGCCAATTTTTTTACAATTATTATACCATCCATGTAATCATAATGTTACATATACATACATGTTATCATGTATGTTAACATGAATATTGACAGGTTTTTGAATTATAATAATAATGTAATAAACCATTACAAAATAATAATTGTCAAGTATTATGCAATAATTATTTTTTTTCTTAATAAATAATTATTTTGATATATATGTTGATATAATTTGTTTAGATCTAATGCATTACACAAATATTATAATATGATAAAATTCAGCATTACAATATTTTATTTACATATATTGCCAAATATAATTATAATATTTTATCTATTCATTTTAATCAAAACTTTTGACCTTTAACGTTATGTAAATTTTGCCGATCGGTCATATGAATCATCACATTTTGACCAATGGCAATACTAGTCAAAACGAAGGATCAGCTGATCGGACTAGTCAATTATAGTCTGTGCGGCAAATGATAAACTTTTTAAGCTTTAAAAAAAAAACTTTTTTTCGGTAAGTTTCAAAAGTTTCGTTTTGAAACTTTTTTTTTTTTTTTTTTTTTTTTAGGTATCAGTTTCAACTTTTGCTTTAGATCGGTAAGCTTTGAAAGTTTCATTTCAAAACTTTATCGTTATTTTGATTTTATTTTAAAATTAAAAAATTGTATTTTATTTTTTTTAGTATCATCGGTGCTTTGAATTGGTAAGTTTCAAAAGTTTCGTTTGTTTCAAAACTTATTTTTTGGATTTTAAAATAAAAATTTTTTTTTTTATTTTTTTTAGGATTTGTCATTGTGCTTTTGATTGGTAAGTTTTGTAAGTTTCACTTTCGAAACTTTTTTTTTGTTTTTTTTTAAATAAAAATCTCTAATTTCTTTATTTTTTTAGATATGAATCAGCTTCAACTTTTCGCTTTGGATCAGTAAGTTTTGGAAGTTTCATTTCAAAAAATTTTTTAAATTCTTTTTTAATATTATTTTGAAGAAACTAATCATTCTTCTTTTATCTATTTTGTAAGTTATCAAGTTCGGTTTTTAGATGTAAGTTTTGAAGCGAAACTTTATTAAATATATTTTTTTAATTTTGAAGAAACTAATTGTTTCTTCTTTGTCTATTTTGTAGATTTTTGTCTTCAGCTTTGGCTTGGTTTCTTGGGAAGTTTTGAAGTGTTTTGTTTCAAACTTTTTTAGTAAATTCTTTTTTTAAAATTGTTTAATTTTTATTTTATTTTTTTTTTATATTTGGTTATTTCTTTGGTACTTTGGATGGTAAGTTTTTGAAGCGAATGCTTTCAAAATTTTTTGGATTTTTTTTAAAATAAAAAAATTATTCTAATTTTTTTCTTTTTTTAGATATCGGTGCAAAATTTCTAATCAGTAGATATTAGCTTTGCAAGCTCTGAGTCACTTTCTTGCAAATGCAATCACAACTGAAATATTCATACCTTATTCCATTTCGCTGACACCTGAATTATTTTGATCGGCACCCTCATGTGACATTGTGACGTGCGATTTTCAATTGGTAAGCTTAAAAGTTTCGCTCAAAACTTATTTTTTTTGGTTTTTTAACTAAAATTTTTTTTTTTTAGGTCTACTTTAGATGGTAAGTTCATTTCGGAATCATTTCAATTTTTTTTCTTTTTTTTTTTTTTAAAAAAAAAAATTTTTTTAAGGTTTTTTCTCCTTTTTTTTGTAGATATCGGTAGATTGAATGATCGGTAAGTTCCAAAATATGTTTCGTTCTCAAAACTTCTAAATTTAATTATTCTTTGTTAATAATTTTTTCTTTTTTCGTAGGTGTATGACTTCTAAATTATGATCAGTAAGTTTCAAAATAGGTTGAAACTTTTTTTTAACTTTGCTTTGAAAATCTAACCATTTTTTCTTTTGTTTATTTTGTAGGCAACATCTTCGATTTTGGGTCTGCTCTTTAGATAAGTTTCAAATTGAAGATTATGGATGTATTGATGGTAATTTATGGTTTCATCTTCACCCGTTAATAATTGTTGATTAGCAACCTAGAATGCATTTCATTACACAGATGTACAGGAGAAGGATTACATAATAAAAATAATATGGAATACATTTAACAAATTTTATTATTTAATTAATGATTATAGCAGAATTATTTTATTAATGTAATATCTATTATAATACTATTATACTAATAATAATATACATGTTATAAATATAAAACATTGATGTTGTAATTATGTATAATATATCTATTGTAATGCGAAATAAACCATGTAGAACATATTGTAATATTCATGTTATAATACATATATGACATAGTGTTTTAATATATTTACCACTATAATAGCAGGTTGGCGCTCATGAATTTTATAACATACTTATGATAGGGTTTTTATATGGTTATCAAAAAAGTCTACATTGATAGTAAAGTAAATTCCCACATTATCATTGAAATACTATAAATATCACTTGCAAGAATATAGGGATTTCTTCTTAATATTTCAGGTGCCATATAAGGTAAAACTCCATAAATTTCATTATTATTATTATCAGAATCTTGAAAATCACTTATAGGCTTACATAATCCTAAATCAATGATAAATAGCTCATCGTAATTATCTGACATTAAAATATTACCATCATGAAAATCACCATGAGTTAAATTTGATTCATGAATTACTTTAAGTCCTAATATAATTTTTTTCAATAGCTGTAACCTGTCCTGCCACTTAAATTTAATTATATCGGATAAACATTTTCTCAAACTCCCTTTTTTTGCATAACTCATTACTATTATATAATTTAAATTATTCGGATCTTGGGTATTCCAAAAAATTGAATAAATTTTGAAAATGAATTTTTCTGGCAATTATAATGATATTTCCACTGTATAAACAATAAAAAAAAATTATTAAATTTTTGTAAAAGAAAATAAAATATTTCATTAAATATAAATACTATACTATTAAATATAAATACTATACCTCATCAAAAAATTTACTATTTAAACTTGATGAATTATTGAGTATTTTAAGAATGACCTCATAATCTGTTTGTCTATTCCATTGTTGTTTGTCAGAATTCCAACTAAAAATGGGTCCATCTGACCAAATAGCTTTATAAATTTCACTAAATCCTCCTTTATCATAATAATTAATACTTGACAATTTATTGTAGGGTATCCACTCTAAAATTTCATAACTATTTTTAACATTATGTTGTGCTTCTTGAATAAATTTATCAATAAATTCACTTCCACTGGTCCATTTTGGAAAATCATGTTGGAATCGTTTAACATTACATTGTTGGCACCACTGGTAATGAATATATGGCTGTTTGCATTCATTACATTGCTCATACCATGGGTAACAAATATGTGATTTTTTGCATTTATTACATAATTCAACTTCATCTTTAGAACTTACTTTATCTAGTACTTTTTGATGCCAATAGAAGGCTTTTTCTAAATTTTTTTCTGTTCCTTTTCCATTTTCATAGCATATAGCTAAATTAAACATTGCATCAGTATAGTCATTTTCTGATGCTTTTTGATACCAGTAAAAGGCTTTTTCTAAATTTTTTTCTGTTCCTTCTCCATTTTCATAATATTTGGCTAAATTATTCATGGCTATTTCATCACCATTTTCTGCTGCCTTTTGATGCCAATAAAAGGCTTTTTCTAAATTTTTTTCTGTTCCAGTTCCATTTTCATAACATATAGCTAAATTATTCATTGCATCTTTAGCACCATATTCCGCTATTTTTTGAAACCAATAAAAAGCTTTATCTAAATTCTTTTCTGTTCCAACTCCATTCGTATAATATAAAGTTATATTATTCATTGCTCTTTCATGACCACATTCTGCTGCTTGTTGATACCAATAAAATGCTTTTTCTAAATTCTTTTCTATTACTATTCCATTTTCATAAAATATGGCTAAATTAAACATTGCACCAGCATAACCACTTTCCGCTGCTTTTTGATACCAATAAAAGGCTTTTTCTAAATTCATTTCTGCTTCTTCTCCATTGTAATAACTATTGGCTAAATTGAACATTGCTACTTCATCACCATTTTCTGCTGCTTTTTGGCACCAATGAAATCCTTTTTCTAAATTCTTTTCTGTTCCTATTCCATTATTATAACAATTTGCTAACTGGAACATTGCTTCTGTAACACTATTTTCTGCTGCTTTTTGATACCAGTAAAATACTTTTTCTAAATTTTTTTCTGTTCCTTCTCCATTTTCATAGCATATGGCTAAATTGAACATTGCTCTTCCATAACCATTTTCTGCTGCTTTTTGATACCAATAAAAGACTTTTCTAAATTCTGTTCTATAAATTCTTCATTTTTATAATAAATGGCTAAATTAAACATCGCTACTTTATTACCATTTTCTGCTGCCTTTTGAAACCAGTAAAAAGCTTTTTCTAAATTCATTTCTATTCCTTCTCCATTTTTATAACAAATAGCTAAATTAAACATTGCTACTTCATCACCATTTTCTGCTAATTTTTTTACAGAATTAATACATTCTTTACAAAATAATTCTTCGGTAATAATTTTATTGCAATACAAACAATTTTTGGTGTTTACTGTATTGGCATTTTTATCCAAAATATTTGGTTTATTAAGTTTATTTTCCATTTGTTTATTTAAAAATTTATTTTACTGAAAAAAAAAAATTCTTAGCCAAATTTTTTTAGGTAATTTTTATAAATGGGTTTACCAAAATTAACCAAAAGTAGATAGACCAAATGATCAACATAATTTCTAAGCTAACCATTTAAGTGATCGTCGTAACTTTATTATTTATGGCAAGCCGAGTCGGACTAAACTATCAGGCATTGGGCGGGTGAAAACTGAAAAATCAGACAAAATTTTATACCAGGACCCAGAAATATATATATAGGGGTCAGGTGATGAAAAAATTTTTTACTATGAGCTGTACGCATTTTTTCAGGGCCGGAATTATGATAATGCCAGTCGGTTACTATAATAGGAAATAAAAGTCTGACTGGCATTATCAAAAATTATCTAAAAAAGGAAAGATTTTCATGACTTTTTTAGTTCAAAATACGCAAACTCAAACCTGACCCTTTTATATATATTTCTGGGTCCTGTCATAC